TGTGTCCTAGGACTTGTCTGTGCAATGAGCTGGGGTATCTATCTACCCCACACTAGCCTGGCTTGCAGCTAATGGTACCTGGGGACGCTGATGATGGGCAGATAGCTTCTTAGCGAGCTTTGATCCAGTCCCATGCCACAACAGGTCGATGAAGGCTCAGTTAGGCGCTATTAACGCGCTGCCAGCAAGATCCACATGGACAGTTAGTGCACGGCAGGTAGACTGACACCCTAGCTTTGCACAAACTAAACGTTTGCATAGCCCTTTGTTCTGATCTTTGCAAGGAGGGCAGCAGCAGCAGGAGGTGTTCTGACGCCATCAGAATAGGTTTGGTTTCTAAGTGCACATCACAGGTGGTGACCAGGGAGGGATGCCGGAGACCTCTAGAATTTCTGAGGCTTCAGCACCACATAAAATGGGTCCCACTTTTCCAAACACACACCCATGGAAATAAGAGCTCCTCCCTCTTTACCTGTCTTCTCGGTTGCGATCCAGTGAGTAGAATTGTTTCCGGAGCCATCTAAAGGGAAACACACAATCCGGACATTCAGCCGTTGTACTCCCCATACATCTTGATTGCTCAGTATCAAACATAATACTCTCCAGGCTTAACACTGCCAGGCACTGGAGTGTCCTCCGCTCCCTTTGGTGCCCCGTCCCACAGCAGAATGCCCAGCTGTACCTCTGTGAAGCAGGTTAGTTTCCTACTGATGACTATATACTCTGAGTTTTCATGCACCCAGAACTCCTACTGGCAGGTAGGATCAGGCTGATTCTGATCATGGAGCAAGAGGAGGCTCACGTACCACAACAAATCAATCCCGTGAGATCTTTCACTCAAGGAGCCCTCAGCTCAAACTGCATGTGGTTCACAAGTGGAATGAGGTAGGCTCTAGGGGCACGTCTACACTGCAGGCTAAAGTCGAGTTAAGCTACGCCACTTCAGCTACGTTAATTGCATAGCTGAAGTCGAAGTACTTTAACTCAGCTTTTGGCACGAGTTAAAGCCGAGGAAGAACACTCTTACAGAAGTCGGAGCAAGAAGTCAAAGTGTTACAGAAGTTGGAGTAAGAGGCCCATTATTTTGAAATTATTCTGAAATAATGGGCTTGCCATGTAGACATGCACTCTTGTCATTTCAAAATAACACGAGTTATTTTGAAATAAGTGTGCAGTGTAGACATAGCCTAAGTGGCTCGTTACTCCTAGATGCTCCAACACAAACCACAGGTTTGCTGAGAGGCCTCAGCACAAAAGCGCGCCTGGAAGAGGCGTTGCTGCGGGAGAGGATTCGGATGCCTTGGCAGAGCAGTGTGGGGGTGCAGGGATGCTGCCAGACAGTCAGCTGTCCTGGGGCCGATCATAGCATTTGGAGCTCAAGAAAAAGGGAGGAGGAGCTAGACGTGCATTGGTAGAGAAAGGCTCCAAGGACAAATGGGAATAAAGCAAAGGCACTGCTGCCAAGTTCAGCACCAGGTGCCTGAGCAGAACTGTGAGGGCTACGCCAGCAGAGTGGCTGCCTTCCCTGTGCCCGTCTTGGTGCCGCTGGCCTCCCTGAGGCTTGCCGTTACCTTTCGATTTGCAGGGGAGTGGGAGCATTGAGAGTATCCATCACCAGCCAGTTCAACCCTTTGATCCACATGTTGACTTCGTCCTCGGATGTGGCTGTGAAAATAAAGAACAAGGCCCATAAAGGAACGAAACGGGCGCTCGGCCCCTGCCACCCATAGAGGAAGCCCGGCACAGCTGCAGGATGGCAGCAGGAAGGGGATCCAGCTGGGCCAAGGGCCTATACTTCACCACATGGACAGTCCCTGTCAACCCCTCCATTGCCTAATGGAGATCTCACGAGGACGCTCTGACCCACAACTCTCTCAGTATATCTGACTGGATGGCTCCTATTCACCACCATACTCAGCGTTCAACGCCACCTTGTGGGTGAGCTCCTGGGGCTTTTTGGTGCCTGTTTGTTTTCAAGGGGCGACACTGAAGCTGCTCTGGAGACACAAGCGAGAGCTATTTTTAGAATGTACGCAGATTTCTTTTTAACTTCCCCATTGTTTGCTGTATCCTCTTTGAAGCTAGAAAAATAACATCTCTCCCCCTGTGCGTTCTGACAATCATTGTGTAAAAGACTCAGTTGTCGTGCATATGCAGAAGGCTGCTCACTAAGGTTTGTCTACAGGAGAAAGGTGCATTGATTTAACTTACATTGGTTTATAATCCCAGACAGTGAAATCAGTGCCAAAGCAGCTTGTCTCGGTTTCAGTTTAAAGCTGTTCCTAACTCACTTAACCCAAACTGAAACAAGCCACAAGCCACCCTTAAACCAAAATGAGAATGTCTACACTTTGGAACTGATCTTAAGTAAAGCTGGTGCAACCGTCTCCAGTTATCTAGCAATAAGAGAGGTGAAAGGAATATTTCAAGTCAGTCACATTCAAACATGCTCATTCTCATCATTTAATATTTAAGGATCAAGACTTTAATATTGCACTGGCAAATGGCCAGAACTTAATATTTTAAGAGAGTACAATCGAAATAACCATGCAAATCCAAAGCTAACGGAGGGGACCGCCCACCTTGCAGGCTGAGAGTTTTCAGCCTGAACTCCATTCCATAGAGGACAACGAAGCAGTGAGACGGGTCCGGTCGGAAAGACGGATCCTCCTGGTATCGGTCAAAATCTCGGGAATTATTTCCTGGACGAATCTCTTGGATTTCGCGAATATCGACTGTGGGAAAAGAGGAAGGAAAAGGGAATGAGAAGAATGAACATGTAGCTGTGGGGTCACTAAGTTCTCCAACACACCCAGGAAGGTGAGACCGGGGAGAGGAGAACTCGACCCAGTGTTAAGTCACTGGCCTAGGACTTGAGAGGTTGAATTCTCCAGACTGCCAGAGATTCCTGCATGACCTCAGCCATATCACTTCACCTCAGCTTCCCCTTCTGCAGAACTGGCTGTGATTTACCACAGAGCATCTGGCAGAGTCATTAGTAAAAGGCCAGCTGTCAAGCACTACAAGTGCCCTACAGATACATGGTATCCCTAGGCTTGTGCAGCGAGGGAACCTTGTGGTTTGCACTTTTCATTGGCACCATCAGGGTGACTGGTGAGGATGGACACAGAGGTGGGGACACTTGCTACTTGACCCTCTCCCAGCCTGGGGAAAGGCCAGGACAACTCCCCTCCACCCTGGACTCCTCTTCTCCTCACGTTTTCCCCCCAGCCAATGCAGCCCAGGGCACAGGGGGGGGAGAGGAGAGGGAGAGCAGAGCCACTGGACAGCCCAGTGGAACTAGCTGGGTGGCCTCACATCCGTGTCAGGGATCCGGGCTCCGCCCACTCCCTGGCAGAGGTGGCAGAAGCAGAGCCACGCAGTCCCAACTTGCTCTGCTCCCCCCACCATGTTGCTCCACTTCCCACCAGCAACATGACCAGAAAAGCAGTGACCTGGGGCCACATTGCTCTGCTTCCCCCACTGCTGCTAGTGAAGGGGCGGAGGGGAGAGAGAGAGAAGATCCCTGCTGTAGGCACTAGGCCTCCCGGGCTGCCCAGAAGCTCCAGCCCCACCGGCTGTTGGTCAGTCCTTTACCACCACCCTGCTCAAGGTGTTTGGGAGGCACGTGCCCACCGGCACTACGGTTGTTGAAAATCACCTAGGCTCCTTTAGGCTCTAGAGAAGACATCGGGGAGGGCACAGACCATGTGACTATCAGTATCCAAGCGCCTGGGAGACGTTAGCAGCCGTTGCGTGCTGCTGGGGTTAGACAAAGGAGCTGGGCCCTCCTTTGAAAGCCCAAACTGCAGTTGCTTGGGTAAGGTGGAGGGCAGGGAGGGGAAGGCCCCGTTCATTGTCGCCTGCTCTGTTCTGTGGAGGGACAAGGAGCCAGGGCTGC